AGGACATATCTAGCCTAACATGACTAGAAGAAATATTGGTTGCTTGTTCAGAATCTTAAAAAATGTATCTAACTGAACATTAAGCTGATAAAGGTCAGGTGGTTTGAAGGATTCTTCATATATTTGGGGTGAGAAAGTACAATGAGGTGAGGAAAGTTTGAGGCAATCCAATCCTGGCAACAACTGGACAACATGTATGGGAAGTCTGTGTTTTGGGGATAAGCAGTAATTTTTTGCTCCTCCCCATATCATTTTCAGAAAGTCAGAAATATTTCTCTGGAAGATGTGGTCATCCTTAATGTGGACACTAACACACTGGAAACACCTTTTGATGATCTGCAGAGCCTTCCAAATGATGTGGTGAGTATAATTAGATTTCTTCTTGCTTCTTTTTCTCTTATACTCAAAGGATTTTCCACTGGTCATCCTAAAAAATCATCCAGAAGGGAAAGGGTCTGCTCAGAGTCTTGGGCATAGAGGGATTTGAGATAGTCTTTTTGAGGAAGCACCTTAAGATTTGATGCTTCTAGAACTGAGGCTTGAAAAGATTCAGTCCTGGCTAGAGTTAAGGTTGGGGTGAGTTATGGAACTCAGAATGCTCTGAATTGATCCATCTTCTAGATCCTGCATTTCAACCCATAAGCAACTAGTTGTTGCTTGAGAGTTTTGTCCAATGTTATCCTCCAAACGTCAGTGGAATAAGCCAAGATAGTGACTTTCCTCCAGAGCAACCAAATGATGTTTGAGGATGAACAAGGATCTGAAAACCTTACTTGTGGTCACTGCTGTGTGCTGGGTATGTCTGCAATACCTGCAGAGCAACCATAGGTGCTTCAGGAGACACCAGGGTTGACACCAAGATGGCTCCTTGGCCTTTTGGTTCATGAACCTCTTTCTTATTTCTCCGGTTCAGGCTTCTGATTCTCTTCAGCCTTGAACAATGAACACTCTTGTAAAGTTCATAGAACCTGTAAGGGTAGCATTTGTCAATTATCAAGTATAAAATTTGAATGTATGGGTTCTCCTGAAAGGAGCCATTGTGCCTACGTCAGAAGAGGCATTGCCAAACAGAGAAGCCTTTGGAATATTACACACTTTAAGAGACTTTCCTCCATTCATTATTTCCTTTCATAACAAAAGAGAGTGACAGGTCTGCTTAAAAGCAACGCTCTTTCTCCTCTTCCTTCAACATAATAGCAGTACAGTAGTAAACAACAACAGTTCTAATACTACTACTAATAATCTGTTTAAAAGTATGATTGGAGCATCGTAGGTGAGTCTGCCAGCAGTCAATCAGCAAGTTTTCCTGCAACAAAAATCTGTATGATGTAGTTTTCCTCTCCCCCCACCCCAGCTATTACTTCCAGTAATTAATGTCTTCCAACACAGATCTTATCCTCAGGTATCTGGATCACAAAACTCTTTCCTCTGCTCCCCATTATGGCTTTGACCACCGGAGAGCATTCTGTGCTTTTTGCTATGACAAGTTTCTGTCGAGTCCTTTCATGCTTCGTGCGTTTGGAGCTCTGCATGGATCACGTCGTTCCTGGCTGCAGGACGATGTTGAAAGCCAATCTTCCATGTTACGTTCTCCCCTGGGGGAGTTGCGGGGAGAAGAGCAGCAGCAGGAAAACAAAATCTTCATTGCAGTCAATGACCAGCACGTAATAAAACTGAGTAATATAGAACAGGTTACACCTACATGGGTAATTGCAAATCCTAACATTAACTGGATGCGTCAATCTGCTGGCTGCCCATTTGGCGTAGGACCGCAAAATTTAGCTACACATTGAGTAACAGGGTTGCGTGCCTCTGAAAATAAAAACTGGAAATAGAACCGGTCAGAATGACTGGGAAATTTATTTAAATGGGGGGTTGTTTATGCTAACATTTGGGGAACAGCAGTGTTTGGTGAACCTATGCCCACCCTTAAGGTCCATGGAAATGTATGCCTAGCAAAAACTGCCATCGGAGCAAATCTCTCTTAAGACTAAATTTGCAGTCTACTAATAGAAACGTCGAATACTTCCTTAATTTCTAGCATGTACAAGATGCACTTGGCAGGGCTCACACCCCGTGCCTGTGAACATCCATGAGTTGGGGTTGTAAAAGTGACTTCCCAGGATCTGATGAGACAAGGGCTTGTCCTGGGCTCCTGAACCCTTGACAGTTAAATTATTTTCACCCCTCCTTTCAGAAATAGCATGTGAACGCTAGCTAGCAAAAATTAAAGCCGGCAAGTACTGCAGAGATGTCAGTAAAATAGAACAAATCAGCAGGTTTTTAAAAAAACAAAACAAAAAACCAAGACCCACCCAGAGTTTTTAGCAATCAAAGAGCAAACACCAAGGGTGAAATTAAAATGGCACCCATTAAGAGCTCGGGAGAATAAAACAGTGGCCCGCTTCTTCAAGTTAATAAAGTAGACTTTGCCAGACTTGGTGGAGTTAGGACTGTCCCTTCAAATCTCCTCTTCTACTTTGGAGGGAATCCCACAGTTGGGGTGTCTCTAGAAAAAAGTCCCCATCCTTCTTGGCAGCCCAACAGCTTTTTATCTGCATGGGAAATCTTCTTGGCTGTTTCTTCCATGCATTGATAAAGGCTTGTACTAATTCTCAAGGGGAATCCAGCTTGAGTGGACAGCGTCTGTCACTCCGAACCTACCGCGGTTGCCCTTTTTGGAGAAGATTATGACAAGAGGTTCACCAAGGCAGAGCTTTATTGGTAGAACTATGTCAAAGCCACCAGCCCCTTCAAGACAGCATTATTTCAGCACATCCCAATGTTCGGCGATCACGTCTTGCGAAAAAGCTAATTGGCTTGTGATGGTTTCATTCTGCCTTGTGAAGCATCGCTTCTCTTCTCGCTGATTTGCGTGTTCTTCGGAGGAGGAAACCGTAAAAGATAGTTACTTTGGCCCATCCCTCGTGGCCTTTAAATTGGTTGAGTGGGGCACCTGAGCATGAAGTTTGTAATTTTTATTCGGGTGGTGTTCGGCCACCTTTTTAAAAAGTTGCTTGCCTTGAAGGAGACTCCCCCCCCCCCTTTTTCTGATGCCGTGTTTTGCAAATTATGTGTTTTTCCCTTGCTTTTATTCATGTTGACAACTCAAAAGCCATGGATCTAATTAAAAGAATTTCCTCTCGCACCTTTACTGAACCATTTCATTATGCTGCACTGCACAGATTGCATTTCGAAACATGGTGATAGTTTAAATCCGACCTTTATCCTGAGCTGCCAAGAGTATAAAAATGTTCTTTAAAAACACTCCCAGGATTGGCTGTGTGTTTCTGTGACTGCTCTGGGAAGACGCTGTCCTTCCCAGGGAGGCTTTCGTCCGAGTTGGGGGTGGGGGGCGTGGGGGACCCTGCCATCTTCCAGGCAAAGCCGCTGATCGTGTTCATTGGTGGGCAGCTTTTCCCAAGAGTGTAGAACCAGGGTGCTTTTGACACTTGCTCTATTCTCAGGATAAAAAGCTTAATTTCAGCCCAGAAGCTCATTTCAGGCCTCTTCCGTGTCAAACAGCGGCAAGGGACCATGGAGCAGATCATGCTCTTGTCCGTTGCAAAGCCATGACGTCCAAGGCACCACCGTGCACATGTAGGATGGTCCAAACGGTCTTTATCCTTATCTTGGTCTGTGGGGGGCTTTCCAAGTGATCCTTGCAGTGCACCCCGATACGAGAGGGAAGCAATTGGCAAAAAGTTGCTTTGCTGAGGATATGGTGTCCCACTCATACCTGATGGAGGCGTCCTCGTAGAAACAAAGAATATCTTAAGGTCCTTTGGATGGGAATGTCCGAGGTAGAAGAGGAAAGAAAAGTAAGATTTAGGGGGAAATCCTGCTTCTGCCCAAGAGAGAAGTTTTTAAAGTCCAGGACCAGCAGTAATTCCCTCCCTTTAAAAAAAAACCAAAAAACCCTCTTCTTGCACAGCCAGAGAAAGTTATCCCAAATCCTTCATCTGTCTGTGCAATCTCCTCGTCTCTCTTGGCATTCTGTTCATCTGTAAAACCACTTTAATTTTAATAACCTGGGTGCTAAGACTTGGGTGTTTTCTCTGCGAGACTGTTACAGTTTCTTCCCTGGCCTTATTATGTCTCCCGCATCTTTCTGTCCTCGATCTTTACCTCCTGAGCTGGAAATAACTTGCAGATAAAAGGAAATAGGAAGGGATGTTCCCCAAAATAGGCAGGTTTCCCACCTGTGAGGAAGAGATAGCAACATTTGGGGAGATACTCAAAAATATATTACGGAGTTAAGTCTCAGATTTCTTGAGATGTCATTCCATGCCTCCTTTTTTCCTTAAACCATAACTTGGTTGGTTGGTTTTTTTAATGGGATTTTTTTCTGGCCTTGCTTCTTGGGTCTTTTCGTTTATTCCTTTAGTGCTGGGGGAGTCGTCTGCTTCCGGTGGTCGTAGCATTTTCCCCTGCCTTCCTCATTCTGGGAACTTGCACTGAAGCTGAAAAACTTTATGGCGGTCGTTAACCAGCACAATGGGAACTTGTGCAGCTCAAGCATGTTGCATTAGAGTGCGTGCACGGTGCATTTCACGGAAAAGAAGGATGAGACCCCATAAAAGAGAAGAGAAATGGTGTTTAGCTACCATGTCTAGGTGTATGAAGGTGGAATAGAAAAGATATTGTGATATACTAGTCTTAGACTGCAGGATATGGCAATATCTAGACCAGCGTTCCTCAACCTTGGCAACTTTAAGATGTCTGGACTTCAACTCCCAGAATTCCCTGCCTGGGGAATTCTGGGAGAGATGTCTGGACTTCAACTCCCAGAATTCCCTGCCTGGGGAATTCTGGGAGAGATGTCTGGACTTCAACTCCCAGAATTCCCTGCCTGGGGAATTCTGGGAGTTGAAGTCCAGACATCTTAAAGTTGCCAAGGTTGAGGAACGCTGGTCGAGAAGACCTGAGGCACACCCTTAGAACCTGGATCCTTGTGTTCATTTTTGAGAATTTGCCCAAGTAGGATAACGTGTGAGCTGAGATTTGCTCAGTTCCTGTCACGGAGTGTTCTTTTGCGTAGATGATGATAAGGCCGTCAGAGCCGTGTCCACCTGAAGCGCAGCTCTGTGAATCAGAGGCAATTAAACACCTCCAGGATGAAAGGGAAGGAGCAGTGAAGGTCAGGTGGGACATAATCTGACGCACAGATGCCAAGAGCTTCTGAGAAGCCTTGAGGATGCGGAGGAATGAGGGGTGGCACCTGTTGACAGGTGGGCGCTGTTGGCCTCTGGGGTGTGGCAAGTTAACCCGTCTGCTCTAATGAGGCAAGAGGGGGAATAGCGTTGGAAAAGTGTCCTGTGAAGTCATTACTAAACTCCATCCTGCTTTGCTTGCTGCTGCTGTAAAGGAAAGGGTTCATTGGGGGCACGTTTCCCTTTTGGGAAGACAGAGACGTGGAGGCTCTGTCAAGCTGTATCTGCTCCAGCTTCCATGCAGTTGGTGTGGGGCCATTTCCACGCCTCGGCTTTGGCCCTGCTGCGAAGGTCAGTGAAGAGAGAATTGCCAAAACGCTTTCTGGTCTGCCACGGGCCATTTGCTTTCTTAAAAGTAATCCTTTCTTTGCCCCAAACGTGGTTTTCCTTCCTTCCCGGGGAGTTGGCATATCTAGAAGAAAACGTGAAATAGACAAAATGTAAAAAGAACTGGAAGGAGTTAAATATATGGAAGGGTAAACCCAAAGCTGTTCTTCCTTGTCTGCCTTAAAAGTGCAGTCCGAAGTGTGTTGCTCATTGGTGGATCCCAGGCAGTTCAGCAGGACCTGCTCCTGAGTAAACATGTTTAGAGTTGAAAGCCAATACCGTATGCATCTCTCCTGATCCAGCCTGTACCAGCGTTCCTCATCCCGATGGCCTACAGATGTGATAGGATTTGAGCTTCGAGAATTCCCAACTAGGGCAAAATGGCGTGGCCCTCTTCCCTGTTCTTCCCCTCAATCCTTGCAACAAAACCCCATAACCCATGCTCCAGGGCACGATGTCCTTTGAGGACCTTCCAGATGGAAACTTCTCCCTCTTGTTCATCTCCCAGATCTCTGCGCTGAAGAACAGGTTGAAGAAGGTCTCCATGACCACAGGAGATGGTGTTGCACGAGCGTTCTTGAAAGCCCAAGCCGCCTTTTTCGGGAGCTACCGAAATGCCCTGAAGATTGAGCCTGTAAGTATCGGGCGTTTGCTGAAATGCCGTGGCGTTCTTTTCTGCCGTCGGGCTTGTAATGTGCGCGTTCAGCTGCTTGGGGTCGCTGTGGTGACATTGGCACGGCCTCAAGTGCACATGTGTGCAGACAAAGAAATGCAACTGTGTATGTTAACATAGCACCCATGTTTGGCCCCACTGGGGGGTGGGCGAGGCACGGGGGGGGAGAACGCAATGCAATGGGCAGTGATAGATCTCCCAAAGAACCTCTCGAGGGGGGGAGAGATGGGGAAGGCCACGCTTCCCAGGCTGGGCTTAATGAACGTTAACAAGTGGCCCCAGCCAGCAGCATGTGCACAAGAGAGCAGAGAATCACTTTGGCTGAGGGTAGTGTCTGAAGGCTCCCCCACACCCCCCCGTGCAGTTGGAGGACCAAGAAGTCAACCTGACTGTCTCAGGAGGTCTGTCCCTTCGCCTGTGTCTAAGGGAACAGACCGAGAACCGGGGTCCGCCTGTGACCCTGCGTTGGCACCCAGCGCATCATTTGCACGCTTTGGAAACCAAAGAGGGCGAAGCCACTGCCTGGCCCTCTCCGGGGAGGGTACGTGGCTCTCGCCGCCTCTTAATTGCTAGAATAAAATGCTGTTGAATCAGCAGGATGTGGGGGGGTTAGTTTTTTTCCAGGATACCGCAGGATAGATCTCTTGACACTGAGGAGAAGAGCAGGTGTGTGTGTGTGCGTGCGCGGATGTGTGTGTGTTTCTATACGGCTCATTAAAAATAAAACGTCAGGTGTGAGCATCGTCCTTTTCAAATCCCTGCTGTAGCTTGGATTCCCAGTCATGTAAATAAGGACTCCGGGCACCAGCCAGCTGCCCGTGTCTTCGGCAGTCTGGTCCGGGGCAGGCAGAAACCAACCTCTTTCTCTTCTGCAGGCCCTCCTGCTGGTGACTTGGCACCCTGTGGGACGAGGGTGCCCCTCAGGGTGCCCATGGGGCCTGCAGGTTGGGTGACCCGTCACTGTGGGGGGTTTTTTTCCCCTTCTTGATGCGACTCCGGTTCCGTGGCTGGGGTTCGATTGCCCTTGGGTGCCGTGGCACCACTCTTGGGTCACGCCGTGGTTTGCTGTTCTTATTTGTTCTTTCGGTTCTCCTGGCTTTGAATCCTCTGCGGGCCACCCAGCGTCGCCGTTGCAAGATGGCCGCGATATCAGTTGACTTAATAAATAAAATAAGAAGTCGTCGAAGGGGGTGGCGGGCGCAGAGGCTGAATGGCTGACCTGAAGTGAAAGACAGACGGTTGCCTTCCATTTGCCTTGCAGCTGGCAAGAGGACCTTGTGTGGTGTTTCGGTTGTGGGGTGGGGAAGGGTGGGGAAG